GCACTGACGCAAATGTCCTATAGCGGCTGCAAGAGGCTTACACTTTTGTTTTATAACTGTTACCCAGCCCTTATACAACCTCTTAAATGACTGAAGTGTCCTATTAGGTTTGCCCATTCCGCTTGTATAGCTGTTCTAAGAGGGTTTTGCCAATGTTCTTACAGTGTACAATGCTGTTTAAGGAATACTGTATAATCATTCTTGCAACTCTAATAGGAGTGATAATTGTTAGTTGGGATGGGACGGACGACAACGTCAGAAAACTTCCATGAGCTTTCTAACATTTAGGACCGATTTGTGAACTATTACGCTCACAGAATACGAAATAACATCAAACATATACCACGTGGGTTAGAAAAAAGGTACAAACTTATGATGTGCCAAGTTGTTATATTAATAGTATACGATCAGTGTTGAATAAAATATAGTGCCCAATAAAAATGATTCTATTTGAATGACATTTTACAGCTAGCTAGCCGTACTTGGTCCCTAACAGCTGCTATCTTTTGTGGAGGATGATGTAAAGATGGCACTCTTCTTCCTATTTTATAAAACATGCTCAATGGGCGAAATGGCTCAAAATCTGAGAGTTGATGAAAAAGACTTCCCTGAAACGTATTGCAGTAGTCTATTGCAGCTTTAACAATATGGGGATGGGTGTTAACTTGTTAAAAACTAGACGGTCAGCCGTTTGGAGAAAAGTGGTGGAGTTCCATTACTTCCTGTAACACCTCATCTAATGAAAACTCTAGGTGGCTTAGCACTCTATCTGGTGAGGCTAGAAGCTTCACATTACGTGGAAAATCACGATGCTTTATGACTCTTACTTGTCCATCGTGCAGTAATAAATGGAAGCGAGACCAAGAAAATTGGAATGGTATAAAAGAATCTCCGTTCTGTTTATGTAATGCATCATGAACAGAGACAAGCCAGGAGACCTCAATACAGCTCAGATCAGCATCCTTACTAGCTTGGGATCAGATACCTCATGAAAACATAAATCACCTCCTCAGTAGAATGCCCCGATGACCGGATGAATGGATACAGCATCCGGTTGGCCCAACATATTTTGCTTATGTCTAACTGAAAACAAAATTTCATTCAAATTAAATCATTTTCACTTGGTGTTCTATTTTTCTTTACTGAGTATATGGAAACAACAACTCTATGGCAAGCTCTGCATCCTCTTCATTACACGTGTTGGAGAAGTACAGACACCCTAATCTATGGATGAATCATAGTCAAAGTAGAAAATTGATATAGTTAATTAAAAGGTCCGTGTGGTGTCCTCCCCTTTCTCCTGTATCCTCCCACTGTATCTAGGTGTTTAGGGCCGTACCTAACCATGGAATCAATAAGAGTATTTTTACGTCATATTTGTGACAGGCACGGTCGTCAAAATATTACCCGGCCCTTTTAGTGTCAGGGCTTATGCAGTGGTTCAACAACTCCCTTGTATGTCATGTTTATACTCTCCACCGGTGTAGCCAGCATATTCAACTTTAGTGAAATTCCGCTACCTAAGCCTTGTTGAAAGTGCTCATATAATAAACTACTGAATCGCACTAAACTTAATCCTATTAAGCTACTTAAAAGAAATGAAGGAGGTAAATCTGTGAACAAATCCAGTCTTAAAGGAGCGATATTTTAATGTTTTACCGCTTTGCAGATAATTAGACTAAAAACTGGATCCATGTAATAAAATCAGTTATTTACAGAACATTTGCGATAAGCGCTCAGTTAATTATAATGTTTTCATTATTAATGAATGACAGTTATTTTAATAAAAAAGTTATTGAATGAAACATACTTATCTTTAGTTTATAAAAAGAATTGCTAGTTGTGACGCATTATCATGGGTGAAGACAGCGGCGGTGAAAGTTCAAAAGAACGGTGGTTCATTATACATTATTGAAACTGTTGACGTTATGAATTTCTAGACGTCTCAGAGAAGCCGCACCTCGTCAAATGCTTTCGAGACATCCAGAAGCAAGATTCCAGTACGTCGTTAAGGGTGAATCCCCTGGTTACTTGCTCCACAAGCCTAACCGCCTGTAACTCAGTACTATGCTCAGACTGAAAGCTAAATTGCACGTCAGGAATCACGTGGCGATATGACGAAGAATTATCAAGGTGACGTTTGAATCATCTTTAGATCACCTTAGATGGAGCTGACAGCAGACTAATGGTATTATAATCCCGGAGAAATATCGAACCTACCTTCTTTGAAATCGTTATAACCTTCTCAGTCTCTCACGCCTATACCTCGCACATTCTATCGATGTCGTTAAGCGATCATCTATAGAGGGTCTGCTAGGTTCTCTTGAAACTCTTGTTTTCGAAAAATCAAGAGTTTCAAGTCCTCTTACCAATATTTTGTTCCTGGTCCTGGTCCTGAAGGGTCCTGGTCCTGAAGGGTCCTGGTCGTGGTGGGTCCTGGTCGTGGCGGGTCCTGGTCCTGGTTGGTCCTGGTCCCGGTGGTTCCTGGTCCTCTGTATCCACGCCGTGGGGGGGGGGGAGCAACCGCGAGTTCTCCTAGTCTCCTAGTCAAGGTTCCAGTTAGCGGGTGCCAACTGGGACCTTGGTCTGGGGTACCTGGTTCTGCGGTTCTGCAGGTCTCTACGCAAGGTTGAGTTTCTTACGTAGGATGGTGCACTGGTGGCGATCCGGAGTAGCTTCATCTCTAGAGCAGCAAGTCGCTTGCGGTAGCTGGGGGCAGCGTACCCCCAGACCGCGGAGGCGTAAGCGAGCTGAGGTCTGGCGATGGCCTTGATCAGCCGTAGCTTTGTCGCTAGCGGCATCCGGCTGTGTCTACCCAGTAATGGGTAGAGTTGAGCCATGGCTGTTCTGGTCTTTGCGATGACAGCTTCTATGTGGGCTTTCCAGGTGAGGGACTTGTCAAATTCGATCCCCAGTTATATTTGACTTTATCGCTCCACTGGATATCTTCGTCGAAGATGGATGTTTCGTTGAATGAAGATTGCCTGCGTCTTCTGGACGTTGATGCGGATTTTCCATTTCACGCACCAGTCCTGGAGTTGGTCCAGTTCATCCTGTAGTCTCCTACGGATGATCTCGGGTCGTCTATGCTTGGCGGCTATAGCAGTGTCGTCTGCATATAGGGCCAGCATTGTGTCAGCTGTCTTCGGCACATCGTGAGTATAGATGTTGTAGAGCAGGGGGGCTAAGGCTGACCCCTGGGGCACGCCTGCTTCCAGCTGTCGTCTTGTTGCCAGGTGCTTTACACACCTCGAGGTCTTTTATATGATCTTCAAGCTGTGATGGTGTCCAATGCGGGATCTCTGGAGATGCCGCTGATGTGGTACTATGTTTCCTGCTACTTAGGCAGCCTGGAACGACTGTTCGTACTGAAATTTTAAATGAGTTCACCCAATCTTAAAGAAGCATTTCTACTAGTGTTTGAGAAATGTTCCGCTTCTGTCACCTTGGACATAATGCTTCACGTGCAGATCATAACGTGGAGTGAAATCGTTTAGTCCTTCCAAAAGCGATGTTTTAACCAGAGCTGAAGCCATGAGGATTGACTTTTGGTCATATGCAGACCTTCGATCCACGCTCACTTCCTCTCTCGGCCTCCGAAGAGAACCTCTATGAATGTATGTTGGCTTCTTCTGAGGTCGTAATATTTCGGCGCTAATAAGCTCTCCCATCCACCTCACAATGTCTTCGTGGATGTCTCGCAAGGGCTGGTTCTGGCTCCAACCAAAATCCTAATACTATTAATGTTACGCTCTGATGGTCTCGTTTCTTGTACAATCATCCCGAATATACAGATTTGATGATGACGACTGCAGTTTTCGTTTCCTGATGTTTCTCACCCAATAAAACGATCCACTAATATTCGTCTTGGAGTGCTGTACACACATGTGGGGTATTGCTGCTCTGACTACACCGAAAGATCAGAGGAGGGCAGCCCAACTGACTTCGTGGTCTCAACCCTCTCTCATATAGACGGGTAGCCGGTAATCAGACCTTCTTCTCTTGATATACAGTTTAAAAATGGGATTTGCAGCTGTTCAATAATTATACGAAAAAATAAGCATGGAAGTGTTGTACGACAAACTCAGTTGCACAGCAGAGATATCTAGTTATGCTAGGAACGTGGTTTATAGCTGGTGTAGACTGACGGTGCGACGTTGTCATTCAATACGGCGACTCGTGCCAACGCTGTACATACTATATTTACTAGTGACCGACCGAATCTTGATGTTCAGCCGAAACCGAAACCGGAACCGAACCTTCGGCTTCCGTCCTGGTTTCGGCCGAAACCGAAACAGAAACTTTCCTTTGACTTATGGGCAGCAGCGGTGGCCGCAGTAGTAGACTCTTCGGTCTCCTGATCAGTCGCCGTGCGCTGTGCGGGTTGGAATCCCGTCCCAGGAGAAATTTTTCTCTTTTCTATGGATGTTGTGATTGTCCGTAGGTGGTAGACGGTATCTGACTGTCGAACGCGGAGGTACCACCCGACGGATTTCGTAGGCGGGGCCAGAATGTGTGCATGTTGCATGCACACGTGTTCCCTCGCCAGAGTCCGTGTAGCGTTCCCCCTGACCCCTGTATCCCCCTGTAGCCCCACAGTACCCTATGGGTGTTTAGGCCTTAGGCCTTCGTGGTAGTTGGAGTATAAAAAAAAAGAATGAGGATGTACATGATTCTTTGATTTTAGAGGTTTACGAAGTTATTAAAGGTCTTTGAAAACGTATCTCCCATAATGTATGTTTTTCTTGTTCAGTAAGGTTAGGTACTTGAAAAAACACAAAAGTTAATTTTTGAAATAAAAGAATGTATTCCATTAACATGTTGGTAATTGAAATACTAGAATAATATAACAAAACGAATCATAAATAAATATCTATTATCTATTACATTGCACTTATATGAAAACAAACATGTATGTCCTGTAACTTCCATAAACATCACCAAAACAACTAAAAGTTTTTAACTCAAAATAGATTTTCTATATAGAAATTGACAATAAACTAGTAAACATAACCAAAAAGCCTTATATTATATGATGAAAAAAGTAGTTTTTCCGCATTTTCTCCTAGCAAATTGCTTCGCCGATCTGCATATATTTGCCCAGCAGCACTGAACATTTGCTCGCTGGGGATACTGGTCGGTGGTGCAGACAGGTATTTCAACACCGCTTTCCTCAACGTCGGGTAGGGGCTGGAGTTCCAATAAGAAAATATGTCGGCATTCCGCTGTAGTCGCGGCTCCGACAAATAGCACTCGATTGTTTGTTTTAGTATAGAGGTTTCATCATATCCATTATTATCACATGGTGTACCGCCGGGGTTATCGTCATGGGTATCCCAAAGACTTTCGTCTTGTTTCTGAATATTGGATTCAACCAGCACTGGTTCTGCAGAAGAAGAAGAATGAATAGCATTTCTGTTCACCGGGCTGTCGCTACTACATCTGATCAAAAAAGATACAATTTCTGTGATTCCGATGTCAACAGCATTGGGAGTTAGATACTTCGATTTGAAACGTGGGTCCAGCAATGTTGCTGCAATTAACGATGGATGCTCTTTCAAGAGGGACATTCTTTGGTTCATTGTCTCATATAACCGATTTTTCGTCATTGTCATCTTCGTTTTCCATTCGAGCTTGTAATTTCCGATTGAGTAGCGATATTAGAGGTATGATTATAGAAATACAAGCGTCATTCAATGATAAATCAAGGGTGGCTTCGTAAAAGAACTTCAATACTTCGACGAGTCGCTTCATAATTTCCCATTCGGTGGGACAAAGGGTATCTATTTTACCATGCTGAACAGTGTAGAGGTTTATAGCATTTTTTTGCTCTAACAGCCTCTGAAACATCAAATAGGTACTGTTCTTCTTATATCAATACTTTGAACCAGAGCATGTTCTGGCAGCCCGCATTGGAGTTGGCATTCTTTCAATTTTCTTGTCGCTGGTTCACTGTGGTGGAAATGGCCTACTATCTTCCGACATTTTTTTATAATTTCTGTGGTGTCTTCATCAGCAAATAACGATTGCTTGATCACTAATTGCAGCGTATGCGATACACAGCTAAGAGACTCATAGTGTCCTGTCCGCATTGCATATGCCATATTTGCGGCATTATCACGCAACACTAAAAAAGTTCCACTCATTGATCATTTCCGTAAATTTTCGTTCAATGTACTGACTAGTATGGTCTTGTTCCATAACAGCTGCGCCTAATATAACTTTCAGGCGTTGATGCTCTATAATGAAATGACCTGTGAGACTGAGAAGGGAACATGATTTGCTAGTGTTGGTCCATATGTCGGCAGTCACACTTAACCAATCGGATTTTGCGATTAATTTTTTGACTTTAGCCTTTACTCGTTCGTAAGTTTGCGGCATTAATGTTGTTCGGAAAAATTTTTCACTCTTCAGTCTATATTTATGAAAAGCATCAGGATCAGCAAAATTAAGTCTTTGGAATGCTTCACCACTGACCAACGAATACGGCAACATATCGACAATCATCAAATCCATAATCGCTTTGTCTATTCTCCGTGAAATTTCATGATCATCTGGCCATTGTACACATTTAGGTCTAGCCAAACTCGGAATGGTCGACTGGACCAGGGTAGGTTGATTACCCTTATCAGTTTCTAAAACCGCTATAGAGACTTTAGTTCGTTTTTGTATGTTTAGTTCATTTTTTATGTTCTCTAATTCAGACTGCCGCTTTAAAGCTTGTCTGTGTTCTGTGCCATGGAACTTACTTAAATGCTGCTTCACTCCATATAGTGTTTGTTTTTTGGGTTCTTGACTTCCTAATGAGAGCGACTTTTTGCAGATTTTGCAAACTGCCTTAGATAAATCATTTGTGCTCTTTTCAAAAAACTGCCAAATAGAATTTCTTTCTCTTTGAGACATTTCTATCTGAAACAGATAATTTTCAGTTTTCACTCGATAATCAAATATAAATTGAACTAATATTATTGATCTTCATTGTAATTATTCATTAATTACAGTAAAGTTTTATGAGCTTTTCTTTGCTGTTACTGAGATAATTGTGTAATATTCTACGCGTATGACCTACTGCAGAACCTGGTGTAAACTGATGATTTATTACTCTCCCTCTTATTTCGAAATAGAAATTATCAATAATTATAATATAGTATATCCAGAATACATAATTACTAAATACTTACCTTTATTTAATACGCACACTACCTAATAAATGTAATAAATGCGTGACCAGCTTGTCGGCGAAGATCAAGTGACGTGATGAAACGCGTACGGACACGAAGCGATCGCCCGACTACAACCGGACATATCCCGAGACCTTACGATCGTATGTTTCGGCCAAGCCGAAAGTTTCGGCCAATTTGCTGCCGAAACCGGAACTTCGACCGAAACCGAAACTTCGGTCGGTCTCTAATATTTACCAAATTTTGTTTCCTGGTTATACATTCTAATCTAAACCATTCCCAATCCTCACTATGATGACTATTTCCTATCTCCTCTTTTCAGGTATGGTTCCAAAACCGTCGCGCGAAATGGCGCAAGAAGGAGCACACCAAGAAGGGTCCCGGCCGACCCGCCCACAACGCGCATCCGCAGTCCTGCAGCGGTGAGCCGATTCCACCTGCGGAGCTGCGAGCACGGGAACGAGCACGCAGACGCAAAAAACTTCAGAAAGCGCTGGAGAGGCAGGCGAGGAAGCTGCGTGCCAAGGGGATTGCGGTGGATCTGGTGGCGCTGAAGAGGGAGTACCTGGCACAGAGGGGAGGAGATGGCGCAGACAGTGATAGTGACATTGATGTGGTGAGTTGGTTTGCTGTGACAGTTCACAAAGCTGTGGAAAATGACTCCTTACCAGGAATATCCACTTTCTACAGTTTCCTACTTTTATCAGCCATCCAACCAAAGCCTTCAATAGCACAGAGCTTTATTGTATCTCTTTTAGCAGCCTTTCTTTAAATAGTGAGCTTACTCCTGAAGAATTAGCTTTCCTAAACTGCCTCTTCACTTGAGCTTTTACTGCAACCTGTCTATTGATATATCTATCTTTTACTCTTGACTATACTTCTCCTTTCTTCATTTTCTATCATGTTTTGTAACAAGCTTCGTACATAGATAGGTAATCATCTCCGCCTGCACATATGACGAGAGGCTTGGAGTACATTACTGCTTGGGGACGCAACAGTTTGGTACAATATAATACTCACAAAACACAGTACTGTACCTTGACTAACAAAAATTGCTGCAGTGCTCATCCGGTTTCGACGGCTTGACGAGTTAGGACTTGGTAGACCAAACATCCATTTATTTCGGCTTTCCTGGATCACCGAAGATACCCCCTCAATAGAGGAGGCTGCCGGGATAAAGCTAGACCATCTGTTCAGTGTTAGTGTGTTATATGACCTCCTCACTCTGCCCCATGTCGTCTCGACTACGTTATCTGTGCTCGATGCTGTTTAGAGGACGGCTGGTCGACGACACTTCTCTAAGTGACAGTTTCGGGACCCTTACGCACCGACGGGCCGTCAGTGATCTAGCTCTCCTCTACCGCTATATCAACACGCTTTGCTCCTCAGAGCTATATGATACTGCCGGACAAACTCGGCTGTCTTCGGGCTCCCATCCTAACCATGTCGAACTTCTTACATCCATAACTGGAAAATACGACCGCTCCTTGGTGCATCAAGAAAGCCTTTCCTGGTTTTACTAACCTTAGGCAGTTCAAAAATCGAATTAACAAAGATTCCTTACGCTCCTCATAGCAGCCGCGGTGCCCTGGTCTTCTGCTTAAAAAATAATAATACAACATCGATAACGTTTTTTTTACTGGCAGCTTGGCAGGTGCCAAACCTGTAATCATTTATAACGCTTGTCAAAAACAGTAACTATAAGGCAAGCTCGCTCAATCAAGTAATAGTACAAAAGCTTTCGATTGGCTGAAACATGCTCCCCTCCCATGTAATCAATTGCTTTCTACGTTGACTACGTCTTCCGACGTAAGGTTCAGTCGTAAGAGTCGTTTTTTCTACATTCCACACTGCTGACGGAGGTGGTCCCCAGGTATCGGTTTTAGCTCCATCGCTGTTTTTGTTACGCATTAATAATCTTTTCTTCATGATTAATCCGATTCTCAATTTTGTGGACACAGGTAATCGTATTAAAAAACCGATCTCTGCTTTTAACTGGTAGCAACTCCATTATAACAAAAGGCCTAGAGGTTATGAATGCCCTATCACGTAATATAATAAATTTGAGCAGTTTGATGCTTCCTAGTATTATACTTCAACTAACGAGAGCTGTCCAATCACACATCTGGTTGCGGTAGATGAGCGAGCTCTGGCCAAGAAGCCATTGGTTTCATCTATTCGCGATTCACATCACCGAGGGCACGTTTCCACACTACACTGTCCATGTATGCTGCTGTTCATAAGAGGAATGTCCGATTTATCGATGGTGCATCCTTAACAATTTTGACACGCATACCGACGAGGGGTCGACGACCTATCTTTCTTCTACCGATATAATAATAATAATAATAATAATAATAAATCGTCTTTATTTATAAAGTTACATAGTATCGGGCGAAGTTTAGCTAAATAGCTACTCTTCCACTTAACCCTATCATTTTCATGGTTGTGAACCAATGTAAATACATGTAATTAACATGTATATATACAGTGGCTAACCAAAGGAAAACAAGAATATTGTAAGGCATAATATAGAAAATATAAACAGATTCAGCAACACATCAAATAAAATTTTTCGGGCGGTTACTAATCTAAACTACAAACTACTACTAAGTCATTTTTGATAGCAAATGCTGCTTGACACAAACTTTAAATTTAGTTTGAGATAAATTTTTGAATGCATCAGGTAGCACGTTATACAATTTGACACAATTATACCTAAAAGAGCGAGTAAATAAAGCCGTACGGTGCCGTGGAATATCTAATAATTTGCCATACCTGAGCATGCGATCTCTCTAACAGATTTACTGAAAACATTTTTTTGAAGAGGTATTCGGGAGTTCGCGTGATAATCAAATTATGAATGAACTTCAAGATAAAATACTCGTAAGAACTATTAATGTCTAACCATTTTAAACTACGAATACAGTGTGAAACATGGTCATATTTTCTTAAACCGTAGATTTGGCGACGGCAGGAATTTTGAATCAGTTGAAGTCTGCGAATTGAGACTTGATCTAAGTAAGGATAGAAAACTATAAGGCAGTAGTTGATTTTTGAGAGAACTAGGCTTTCACAAAGATGTTTTTTCAATTTGAAATTGATGAAATGCCTATTAACAAACAATGTTTTTAGTACAACAAAGCAGTTTCTTACTAATTTAGATATATGCTCACGAAAACGTAAATCCTTGTCAAGTAAGACACCCAAATTTTTTGCAAGATCCTCATAAACTAAAGAAGTGTCATTAATGCGTACTGTCGTGTTATTTCTGATATTAATGATTTTGTTTTTTGGTGCAAGAGAGGCATTTAGCGTTAAGGAGCTATGCTTGGAAAAACTAACAATAGTGGCTAAGTCACAATTCAACTCGTCAACAGCTACTACACAGCCATCTGGATCAAAAGTTGTACATATTTGTGTATCATCCGCAAAAATCATCACTTCTAAGGAGCGTATCAGTTTACACATGTCTGATATGTAAATGGAGAACAATAGCGGTCCTAAAACAGAGCCTTGAGGGACCCCTGATATCACATTCTTATATGTCGAATATGAGTTGTCCAAATGTACCCTTTGCAGACGATTCATGAGATAACTAGTAATGAACTTGATAGATGCTTGAGAAAATCCAATATATTTGCATTTTGAGATCAAAAGTGAATGACTGATAGTATCAAAAGCCTTGGAGAAGTCAAGCAGTACAAGAGCCGCTGCTTGACCCCGATCCAAAGCCTCAACAATATCATCAGTCACCTTAAGCAGGGCAGTGGTGGTGCTATTCCTTACTTTGAAGCCAGACTGGTTTTTTGGAATTATGTTTTTCTCAGAGCAGTACTTTTTCAATTGATCATGTACTATCCTTTCCAATATTTTTGATAGAATCGGAAGTAAACTTATTGGGCGCAGGTCGGAATAAGCTGAAAGGTTATTAGTTTTTGCCAAGGGAACAATTACTGCTTGCTTCCATGCAGAGGGAAAATAGTGAAGTTCCAAACAAGGATTAATCAAATGCGTTAAATATTTGCCAATCACAGGAAGACACAGTTTTATCATATTAGGTGTAATACCATCATGCCCACAGGCATTAGATTTTATTTTAAATAAATGCGAACGTATATCTTCCTCATTGGTCATGACCAGATCAAATTTGAGCGATTCATCAAGTATGTTATTATCATAAAATTCATATGCCATTGGACTTTATTGTTTTGAGATTTTCTTCATAGTGCCTCCGCAGACAAATTCTCAACTTTTAGTGTTTGTAGGTACTGTTAATCAATTTGCCCGAACAAAAGATTCACAGTTCTTTCAAATTTAGCGGTCGCCGTATCTCGGTATATTTAAGCTCCGTCTACTACTTTGTAGTTTCCCAGCTGGTATTGCATACAACTCACTTGGTTTTAGCCTAAGTCTACCGCTTCGCATACACATTTAGAAAACCCACTTCGCTCCTCTGCCATACGAGTACGAACCAGAATGCATCCATTAAAATTTTTGTTTTTCTCAATCGTGGTAATTTTGCCTTCAGTATCCATATACCAGTTGACGTGGAGTTAGATCAACGTTTGGGGGATAACAATACTTTGGTACTATTGCTTGTGTTTTTTTAGTTTAATATTTTCTTCTGTTGTTTCAGGTAGGAGATTCGGGGGCGGAGTCAGAGAACTTCAACGTCAGCGAGCACAGTATGTACAATTCCTCGGTGTCTGAGTCAGGCGTAGACCTGACAGCAGAGCCACAAGACGAGAAAAGTAGAAGGCCTAACCCGTTCAGTATAGAGTCATTGCTGAACAATAACACCTGAAATGTGCCGCGATCAAGCAAAGAATCAGTGCAATAACGTTGTAGTTATTAGGTTGAGTGAATAGTGATTGAAACGTGGATGATATCTCTTTAGAAATACTTAATTTGTCTTGCAACTGCCTCTGAAGCAAGTTCTAGAATGCAATTTCCGTTTTTACCAAAACATTATGTTAATAGAGTATTTGACAAGTGAATAATTCCTAAAACAAGCTTAATTATGAGCATAATTTTAGTGATCTCTTATTTCAGGATATAGGGTGACAAACTTTCGGTTGTACCTACTCTTCCGTAGAAATCATATTTCTAATCGATTTTGTTATGAGAATACCCACCCAGTATGTTTGCATTAGTAGGCTATTTAACAGTAACAACATGTCGATACATGTTGTCATGCTACATGGATCTGTTGTATTAACTTTCTTTAAGCGTTGACTGGATATTTTTTTTGAATTGCCACTTTTTAAAGATCGAGGCACTATTTGTCTTAGAATACCCTGAGTTATCAGAGTTAAAATTTAGCCAGGTGGTTTTTAACACTGCATCTGCAACTTTTTAAATTGTATCATGTAATACGTACGAAAAACATATCTCGATATCATCTACGTTCAATATATAGGTACTGTAATATTTATTGTTCCTGTAAATATATATTTTAAATAGTCCCCTGTATATAGCGCCCTGAACATTCCAGTTTTTGTTTACCTAATTTATTAATGAACTATGTTTAAGTATACATAGTACAGCAATACGTCGAACAAGTTCAAAATCCTTTAGACTAGACTTATGTACTATCAGTGGCTGTATAGTTTGAGTCGAACCACAAAAGATGAACAAAGTTATTCGTTGCACCAAGTTTCTACGGGGTACGTTGACTGACTAACGTTATGAAAACTATTATGCGCATGCAATCAGACTCTCCTATTTACTGTTTAGTTTTTAATAATAAATGTTTGAAACTACTCATTACAGTGTCACCTTTGAGAGCCGAATGTATAGTCGTTCCTCGTTGCCTTCTTATTCTGAGTACGCCTCAGTTGCCTTGACAATTTGTAGTGGCGGGAGGGCTATCAAATATATCCCTCAAGATTTTCCAAATTTCAGTTTTCAAAGGTTTCGAGATTTTTTAAAGGCAATTAGAACGGTTCGGTTCCAAAAAGGCAGCTTCTTCCCTAAAGCATCTGATGAGTTGTCATTTTGAAGTATCAAGGCTGATAATGCAAGAAGGACTTCCGTACAATAGAGAAGCCTTAAGTAAATGGACGACTATTCATATGAGATTATGGAAGCAGAACACTTTTACGTCTATGTGGGAAATACTGAATTATATATAAATTGCTTATTTAACTATCCAGACAATAAGACTTATAAGAAATCGTTATAGACACCTTTGCTACCAGTTATACTATCGTATAACGTCAAGACTCTGTAGAAATTTGATGTAAAGACATAACAATCTATTGTAATCATAGCTTCTCCACTGGGCAATGATGCATTTCATTTTAGTTATGAAATTCGTTAACTGTATTCCAGAGAATAAATAACCTTATTTGTGTAGTTATTGCTTATACCTACATATTTAATAATTTTCTGTGATTTACTATAATAGTTATACAACGAAACAGTGACAGTAGTGGATACTGTTAACGAATTTCTATTCAATATACAGAAACGTACTCCTTTGAGTGATCTGCAGTGCTATTATATGAAATAACATATAAGTCTAATAAAATATTATTTATTCCTCATTACCAGGTAGTATCATTTACCCATGAAACATCTAACTCCCATTTCCTTTATAGTTCTACTAATCGCATTAACATTGGCAACATTGACGTAATGGTATCAAAATATCAATTAACTAGAGATTTGCTCAGAATATTAAAAATTACATAGTCAAGCCTCCGGGTAACGGGTGCTCCTTGGAAAACAATAGATCAACCTTAGTTTGCTATACCTTGAAAACGATGTATTGGATTGAATATTATTAAAGGCGGCGACTGACTGAGCGCTGTAGTGTAACACAAAAATTCGCTAGTGAATCGCTAAAGCGAGCGCCGAACAGAGCCGCTCACGTCGAGTAAATCGTGCTCCACTTGACTGTCGCTTTTTTGATGAATGCCTCTGATGGTTATATTGTAATTCACTTCAGGGGCGACTAGTTTGTCTGTGAACCCAGTGTCTGCAGTCTTCTTATTTTATTAGTTGATATAGAGCTCTGAATACATGTTATTAATGGAGTGCTCCGAGGAGAAAACTTTATTTTTATTGATTTATATCTATCGTATTCTATGGGATCCGTAACATGCGGAATGTTATAACAAAATCAAAAAACATGATGCGTGGCGACAGCTAACTGCCGAAAGAGAAACTTTGGTTGATGACGGTAAACGTAACATTACACCTTTGTTAGCTTCTCTCAGGAGAGAGAAAGCCAAAACATGTAAAGGCAAAGGCACAGGAACAGGTAAGAATGAGTGATTTACTTCACCATTATACAGGGTGTCACAGAAGTCGACGTCAAGCCGGAAACGGAGGATAGCCCAGTAGTAATAGTTAAAAAGTATACTAAAATATACAGGGTGACTTCGAAGTTGAGTCATTTATTTTAACAGTGGGTAGATCTGATCAAAAGAAATGTTTTTTTCCTTTACCATTTTTCTGGTAAAATTAAAGTAACAAAGTTATAGCCCTTTGGAAGTTTGAGTACCGCCCTGTCTCAATAATGATATTATGTTCTCGTGTTTGGCAACAACAGATATAATCCGCCTTATCCGTTCATCGCATCGGAAACAAAAAAGCGAAAGAATTTGGAACGATCTTTTTACAATTATTTTCTTCAGTTGTATACAGTCAGTATCAGTCGGTAGTCGGTAACGCGTAAGTGAATAATCTCTGTTGCGAGGCTCAAATCAAAAATGGCACATGTTTACGAAAATGCTGAACTTGTGGACATGGTTCTTATTTACGGGGAGTCTTTACAAAATGCTGCCGCGGCATCACGGATCTATGCGGATCGGTTTCCCAATCGAGTGCAACCAACCCCTCGTGCCTTTGTTAATGTAGTGCAAAGAGCTCGTGAATCAGGTGACTTAAGACCTCACAGAGGAGATCATGCCGGTGCTCCAAGACCACACGATCAAATAGAACTAGAAGAACAAATTTTAGAATTAGTAAGTGATGATCCAACAGTAAGCACCCGACAAACTTCAACTCAATTAGCGATTAGTCAGTATAAAACTTGGAAAACTCTACGTGAAAATCAGTTCTATCCGTTTCACATACAAAAAGTGCAGGCCTTACAACCGGAAGATCATGAACAAAGGGTTGACTTTTGCAATTGGCTTTTAAATAAACATCAAAATGATGACAATTTTTTAAATCAAATTTTAGTGAGTGATGAAGCCCTCTTTACTAGAAACGGAATTATTAATTCACGTTATTCTCACGTTTGGGCTATTGAAAATCCCCATGAAATAAGGGAAACCAATTTTCAACAGCGATTTGAACCAATCAACCTGTGGGCGGGAATTGTTAATGGAATTTTAGTGGGGCCTTTTGAATTACCAAATCGCTTAACTGGTGAAAATTATTTTGATTTCTTGCAACACAATTTGCCTGGTTTACTGGAAGATGTGCCTTTAAATATTAGACAAAACATGTGGTTTTTACAAGATGGGGCACCACCCCATTATGCAAGAAATGTGCGTGAATTTTTAAATAGACAATTTAATAATCGTTGGATCGGCCGTGGCGGTTTTGTACCTTGGCCGCCAAGGTCTCCGGACTTAAATCCTTTAGACTTTTGTTTGTGGGGTTGGCTAAAAACTCTAGTGTATAAAACACCGGTTAATACACGCGAAGAATTACGTGCTCGAATTGAGGAAATGAGTACAGTGATCAGAAATCAACCAGTGATTTTATTGCGTGCTTGTAAAGAGACATGGCTAAGACGCGCCCAGCTGTGCGTCGAGCAAAACGGAAATCATTTCGAACAGTTTTTGTGACATGCTTTTGGGCGCACAGGTCCGCACTGAAATACTTGTCGGGAGGATACTTTATAAAACAAGGTAACATTTTTTTTTTAATTTTTTTTTTATTTTTACACACATATTTTGGTTTATCTTCCTTCTACAATCATTATCTGAAAATTAATGACTCAACTTCAAAGTCACCCTGTATAAGTCGTGTACTTTTCAAATTATACGCCTTGAAAAAATCTACACTCTATGATGATCTTTTACTTCTTGTTACTATTTAGAAATGTCTTTTTTTCTCAGTTTTATTTTTATTAGGTAATCCTGAACAATGCTGCTGAAAATCGTCGCCCAAAATTGAACGCCAGCTGCTTCAGCTTGGACAAAATGACACGTTTACTGTCTCGCTCACACTTTGTAAGATAGTTCTCCCTTTCTCACTCAAACTAGAATCTTAAGGTTACGGCTCCGAGGAAACCCTTAGGTGCCCTCTAGTCATTTTAAGTAACTAAGAAAAAAAATGTGGAAAACTGAGATTCTTTACAAACATTAAAATTGTCCATAATTCAAGAAATAATCTAGCAAGTATCATACCATTCTGGAATCCTTATCAAATGTGCCAATTATTTGCTAGACTAGCATAATACATTTTTATCAGTACAGTCAGTCAAAATTGGGAAAAGCATTAAATTTGCATACCTGTTTGGGAAAAAGGTGACGCAGCTGGTCTTAAATTTTAGGCAACAATTTACGGCAGCATTATTCAGTATTACATAATAGAAATAAAATTGAGAAAAAACCTGAACTTATAGTAATGGGAACTAAAGGATCATCACGGGGTGTAGATTCTTCCGATTTTGAACACAGCACTAGCTACTTCTAGGTCTGAGATTTCGACACAGACTGCAGTAGAAAAATGTGGAGCGCTTATGAGACGAGCATTCCAAGTGAACGTTCGCTGGACTCATATCACGAAATTTGTATTGTAACGCTCGTTGTGAGCATGACATTACAGCGCTCGGGTTCAGTGAGTCGCCGCCTTAATATCTTTCCCGAACTCGTATACACTTCGTGAATATGTGCGTATGAAAGTCCATTCTCCTTTGCTCAATTTGTCGCTGACGTGTCACATTTTAGAACTGTTATATTTTTGGAGCCTGGTCGCTAACAAACTTCGCTAATTTGCGAATGTCGCTGCCAGCTACCGGATAACAGATCATTCTGACCTTACGTTCTAATCATCGACTTTCATGCAAACATGAGCAAGACGCATTGTTTGAAATCGATACCGTATTGTTCGCAATACTACAAAAAAGTGATGAATGTATACTAAATGACTTCCTCGTACGCATTGTAGTAGCAAACAAAAGAAAAGATGAAATCGCACATACTTAGCGTCAGATAAACATACTTCCATTTGCATTAGAAAGCAGTATCAGTGCACAGGAAAATTAATCAAAGTGTATTAAAGCTTCAAGCAAGCAATGCAAAGTGCTCTTGAACGAGATTATACGGAGTATACCGAATACCAATAGTGAGGTCACTAAGCGGTAAAACGAGTTGCTTCCTACGTCCGTCTGATCTTCTGTAGGGTAGCTAAAAGCAAACGGATGTATCCAGTGATACAGAAAATGAAACATCCAGAAAGATTATATAACTTGAATTTCGATTTATATACAGTTTGACATTATCAATATGAAGTTGTGATTGAATTGTAAAGGGAACATTTGCTGTATTGCTGGATTTCTCGGCCCGTATCGTCAGTCGTGCCTACAACTGTAGGACGCCTTTATGGCCTCCTTGGTTGTCATAGTTTTCAACTTTTCCCTATCAGCGCTATATTTTGAGGTCATGTCACAAATATCTATTTGCATCAAATTGTAAATTGTGCATGCTTTTGATTTATATCATGTTTTATCAGCCTGAAATTTCCTACAATTTAAAAAGAAAACATATCTCCACAATAAGAGAGCGCTGACGCTGACACAGAACAGGTGCAATCTAGAAATTTTTGAAAGAGAGAAAGGAGTATAACAATCAAGGAGGCCATAAAGGCGTCCAACAGTTGTAGGAACGACTGACGATACGGCCCTTAATATACTGGTTTTCTTGAGGTATCTCATCTGAGGTTAGCTGTGCTTGCTTTCAGATAAGCTGTTAGCGTTTGTGTGCGAAATATCTCTAGATCTAGGAGGCCAAGGAAGGAGACTGACTAGTCTAGTGTATCTGCAGCAATGGGCATCATATTGTTGGAAAATATGGTTTTTCAAGCATTTGACGGAATGGCAAAAAGTAGGGTTGTCATTATCATATGTGTCAAGTTGTCCCTCTGCGATGAAACGACCATACGAAGTACAAACGTAAAAGGTGTTTCTGTCAACGATCCTACTGTTACGAAATCTATATGCTTTAGCTTGAACAAAGCTTAATTATTTCTTTATTGCTACCGTTCGTTGCACGGCGCTGCTGAGGGGCTCATTTAAATTCATAGCGTAGGTAGATACATACATAGTTTGCACTGCGCTTGTTAATTTTGTACTGGAAACTGTGTGAAGATTTATTACCAAAAAATAGAAAGCATGTTGAAATGGTCTGTAACAATCGATATACGTATACCTAAATTTGAATGAAGAATTAACAGTCAATCATATCAGTTACTGATTGGAATGGTTCAGTCAGTCTGTCATACTGGGATACGAACGCTAAATGCGCAATGCTA